GATGTTACTCTGAGTGTATATCACTGAGCTGTATAATAACTGGAGGACCTGCTCCTATACTTCGTTCAGTCAACAAAGTGAAGCCAAAAACATGGCGGATTTTGAGTGAAAATGACGCCATTTCCATGAGAACAGCAGCTGGGAAATTTGTTGTCGCTGTGCAGAGAAATTGCTGGCACAACCTGATTTTTTCGTTGGAATTCGAATTTTGAATCAAAACAACAAAGAGAAAGTTTGTTTGAGATCTGAACTTCTCTCAGCGATGATCAAGATATTTAAAGAATGGTGAGTTCTTTATTAGCACACCAACTTTGCTTCAGATGTTAAATATGTCCTTTTTAACGGTAAATTTTGTTCAAATAATGGCGACAAAGATACCTTGGTTTGGACTTGTAGTTGTGCCTTTCAAACTGTTGTATTTATTCGTGAATTCTGCGGCAACTCGCTTGCTTAAATGGCGTAAAACAAACTTGTACTTGAACTGGTACCCATGGTTCGATAGAGGACGAATTTTAAAGTGATTTGAGCCAAATTTGTGAGAGTGATGAGCACATTTATACACGAAGAAGTAGACCAATGTAATGAACACAACTTTGCCACGCGCGTGCTGAAAGAAGGGTCTGTCAGCTACACGTTTGCTGAATGAAACCAGAGAAGGTACATAAGATGTTCCTTACAACTTTAGGTGTCAGTTCTGGTTGTGTTTTCCCCAGATAATTTCACGTTTGTACAGGGTGAGGAAAAAGTTCACATGCCTTCGCAGGTGTTGACGTTCTAGGCCCAGGACAGGGGTATGGCAAGCAAAGTTCCGACAGCTCAAAATCTAGACGAAATCTCCAAATTTTTTGTACTAAATTTTGTAATCCGATTGTTTATTGCTTTCGATAAGCAGTATTTTGTTGACATAAAAATTGCCCTTCCCATTGAAATCCTGGGTTGTATTTCAAACATTGCATATTGGTTCACTTTTGATGCCCGGTATATTGGATAAAAGGATCGCAAATCTATTTGAACTACTAGGTTCATCTTTTGTCATAGTTTCTGGTTCTAATTTGTTCATTCTTGTATAGGAAAATCAACCCGTTACTCCTTCTAGAACAAAAAATATTTTAAATTATATCTCGTTGTATTTTCTTATCTCATTCAGTGTTTAAACCGTGTCCCTACAGAGCCAAATTACAAAAAATCTAACCGAAATCTCCAAAATTATGATCCTATTTTTGAATCCTCTAGAGTTGTGGAAAAAATAAATTCAAAATCGTTTTGAGTGAAAAATTGCCCTTCAAGACAAATTTCGCCTTTAAAAGCGCACGCTATAATCTGAGCGACTGAGCATGCTGTTAAAATACATTCCAAACAACTGGGATTCCTTTCGGCTGAAATTACTATTATTATGTGCAGGAGGCTAATATGGCGCGATTCACGCGAAGAGTTGCATGTGCTTTCCCACTACAAATGGGCATTTTTAGCTTTCTTGTATTGCTAGAAGTAACTTTAGTACCATTTATATTTCGAATATGTTTTTTTCAAAGCCAAACTTGGTCATGTAAATTTAATAATAAATAAACTTTTCAATGTCTGAATATCATACAAAAGTTGAGCTCAACCTTTATACAATTTTTTCTCAAAAATAGAATCTCGTTTAATACTTGTATTTGTCTGATGAAATGCATTGGTTTGTTTCACATATACCGTTAGCAACTTGCTTTGTTTATTTAAGTTTCAACTTTATTAATCAACCAATTGAATGATTTTTAATAGATGCCTTCATTTGCCTGTGTTCACTAATTGTACAATAAAACACAAATTATTGAAATGATTGAAAACGATATATTTACTGACTTCTTATAAATGTACATTGATTTGCAATATTTTATTTAAATTGAACATTTCCCAACAAATTATGTCATGCTCTATATTACATTCATAACAAGTTCGGCAAAGTTGCTGCCACACAAGTTATGTTTTTCTCCAAGATAATGGAAAAGTTCATGTATTTCTGCAAGCTTGCATACGAGAACTAGACCACCTTGATTGCCATGCTGATGACTGTCAAACACAGCCAGGTTTCCATTATCAATAAGTATGGCCACTGAATTGGCTGGTGGGATAATCAAAACGCCAGCATGCCTTTTCCCTCCTTGAAGCATATGAACAAATGTTTCTTTAATGTCATCCACATTGAAGAATCCCAAATCGTGCAAAATTTGCAAGTTCAGATCCTTGATCTTGTTGACCACATCTCGAACTTCCAAATTTGGTTGGTTGTTAGGTAGATTCAAACCTTGATACAATAAGTTCCCATTCAAAATTGTTTGTTTGTAACTGCTTGTCATAGCTCGGATATCACTTTTGTTAGATGGGATGGCCAATGTTTTTAAAAGAAACTTCCGGCACCACATTGAAGCAATAATTGTGCAAGCATTACTTGCAATTGGTCTTCCACCTATTTGGGTTTGGCAGATACTTGTGGGGAACAGCCATTCAATTATTCCATTTGTGTTTTGCTGTGGTTGTTGTGATTGTTGAGGTGGTTCCTGCTGCACAACATGGTTAACAAAATTTTGAACTTCCTGAAGAGGTTGCCGCTTTTTGTGTCGGTTATGCTGAGTGGAATCAGAATTAGCTGATGGTGCTTGCTCTTGTTGCAGATGGTGATTAGAAGGCTTTGGTGGTGGGTGTAAATTTGCAATTTTGTCACTAAGTTTGTTTATTGTTTCATCTATACTTTGTAGATCAACAGTTGGCAGAGTTTCCATATTGGCTGGTTCATCATCAGGATTATCATCGAGCTGGGCCTCCTTGGTAGGATTTGGATGTAAAATGGCATCTTTGGCAACTTTACCAAGCTCCTCGACTTTACTTTGAAGAAAGGCATGACAAATTGGACAGAAAGTAGTGCCATTGAGACATTTAACATGGAATGAATGCCAACACCCTTGAAATATTTTCCATGATTCATCATCATCATTAATGGTGCACGAGTGGAGGTCACATATGCAATCTTGGTTTGGTTCATGCTTTGCGCTGAAGCCAAGAGGAAGAGCCGTGTATTTAACTTCTGCTTCTCCAAAAATGTGTGGTAAGCGGACATATTTTGTTTTCCTTCTTATAAAACTAGAAGCACAACCAATGTGATCATTTATAACAATGAAAATGTTTGTCAAAAATTCTGCACATCGGACCTTTAGGTACTTAAGTTGCTGCTGTGAAAAACTGAAGTGTTTTGGAGGGGTGAAATTTAATCGAAAGTTAGCTTGTTTGGTCTTGGATTGAAAGATACCTTTTGCCCTTTCCTGAAGTTTAGCAGCAGTGTCGGAAGGCTGAGTTTGGGCTCGGATGATGCTATGTGTATTCTCCACTGGATATTCATCAAAAATTGTGGGCCATGTGGAAAATTGTTCATAAAGCTCATTGTACTTGCTTTTCCAGTGGGAAGTGTTTGACAACCACACAAGGGGGGCTTTATTGTAATGACGTCGCTTTAGGCAAAGGAACATTACCCACACCCGGATCATCGAATTGTAGTATTCTTTGAAATTGTTTCTTTTGAAAGTGATTGTATAAATTGTCAAAACCAGTGGGATATAGTTTTCTAACAAATTGAGTAGTGTACCATATTGAGTGTCCTTCGAATTTTGAAATTTGGTCATCACTTGATCTCGTATTAATGTCCAACCACCATACACTGTCTCTAGTATGAGATTTATTCTCCAGGGTTTGGGTGATTTTGTCAGCTTACTGTTTGGGAACAAGTAATTGTAAACTTGGTTGAAGAACGGTCTAAATGTATGAAAAATGTCTTCTCTACTATTTAGGGAAATGTGCAAAGGACCCATGGTGGGAATGAGAGATGTTATGGCAGGGATTTGATCACTTCTGGAGTTGCAATTTTCCACAGTATTAGAGGACGACTGATGCTCCTGTTGAGATGCTGCACTTGATTGCTGATACTGGGTGAGAGATTCATATATCAGTTGTCTGCAATAAAATTGGCATGGCCAGTCACCAGGCTGAATTACAACAAACTTCTTCAAATAATCTGCTAAACCTGATGCCACAACTGTATCATATGCTTGGGGAAAACCATCCTTTGATCAACTGTAACTCGACAAAGTCAATTAGATGCAAATCATCCATTGTTCTCATCATTCGAACTCCAGACTCGTCACCATAGCCATGTTCTTCGAGAATGTGTCTTTCAAGATCCGGTGTAAAAAACCGCGTGGTCAACCAATTTGGCATAGTTGAGGCATAGCTATTGCTTAACAGTGCTAACTGTTCAGGGGAGGTTATAGCATCTACACAAGCCCTTATGTCAACACCATCTGGGCAATGGATTCTGGAAATATTTGATGGTACCTTTATTGCTCTCAATTGCTTGAATGCCTTTACTACAATTGTACACATGCTCATGGGATTGCAAGTTCTCAGAATGGCTGGTCTTCGATAGGTGTGAATTTTAGTGAAGTCATCGATTATAAGTACCAAAACCCATTCATTTTGGATTGCTTGGTTGAAAAAACTTTTCAGACTTTCCTCGTGATTTTGTGACAGTTGGCTGCGGATTATATTAGATGTTTTACGGCTGCATGTATGTCCCATCCGATATTGTGTATCTATGCCTTCTTGAGTCATCCTGTTGGAGTTCAGATAGAGTGCATTATCTACTTGCATAACATTACACATCTGGCTGCGACAGTAACACATAGTGTAAATTATCGACACTGTTCGTACTCGGTTGAGATCCTGACGCCTGTGGGAATGACGATCGTCTGAAACTGCTTGCAAGATGTGTTCAAATATATTTGGAGCACCCGCCTGGCGACAAAATTCAATGAATTCATTTGGTTGATATATTGCTGGTTGGTTTCCAAGAACAAAATTCTCATATATTCTCTGTTTTAATTTCTCTAGCTCCAATTTGAGATCACATCCTGCAAGAAAAGCATTAATTGACTATGTCATTTCTTGTTTATTTGTAATGTTATGTTTACTTAACCTATTGAGTTGCATTGTGCCCTGATGCACCCTACTTTATTATTTACTCTGTCTAATGCCAGACGATTTTGCTCATGAAGGGGAGAGCTCTGGTGCTTAGTGGGTTAACTAGCCTATCTGCCTATGTGTCTAGTTAAGCCATTGAGTCGCATTGCGCCCAGATGCGCCCTACTTTATTATGTTACTCTGTCTAACCCCAGATGATTTTACTCGTCAAGGGGAGAGCGCTGGCTCTTAATGGGTTAACCAGGATAATGGCAAGATTTTGGTAGACCAGGGCAAGTGTTTCACTGGGGCCTCTACAACAACATCATAATATCATTGGTGGGGGGAGGGGGTTTGACCACAATTTGTAAAGCCTTCACTCAAGGAGCTCACAACATGAGTTGCTATAACATGCATGTAGTCCAGCTAGGGCAAGTACCCCCTCCCTACTCATGGAGTATTGTTACAGTACGTTTACATTTTGTGCATGTAATGTAATGTACAGTACAGTATGTACATACTTCCGGACATGGAGTTGAACTGCATCTGAATATCATCATACATTTCTGCTGGCATAAGCACTTCTCCATTGGCCCCTCTCTGTAACACTCCAAAGCATGTGTCTTCTGCCACCCATCCCTCATTATTGTTGTCCGACGAAATTCTAGCTGGGACAGTTCGATGTTTTTTCTTTGGTCTTCCTGCTTTATCTTTTTTATTTGATTTATCCAACTAGCATATTAATAAAACCAAAACAAATTGGGCACTGTGCTTTTTAGTATAATTTGAGTTTTACTTGCCACTTGGCTTATTAAAAATTGTAAAATTTTACATGCCACTTGGCTTATTAAAAGTTGTAAAAAAATTACCTGAAAGGACGTTTTTCCTGTGGTTCTGTATATATACAAAGCTCTTCGACAAGTAGAACATAATATCCCTGTCTCTTCGCACGAAACACCGAAGCAACTCTCCAGAAGAGCGCCTTGTGGAAGGCTATTTCTTGTAGTATTTAAATTTTGTTTGCAGCATTTGCCACACACGGCACAATAAAGGTTCTTTTTATTTGGAACTGCAAAAACAGCATTCAAAACAAGCCAAAGAAACAAGACACAGAAAAAAAATTTGCCGGACATGTTTTTGTTTACGAATTTAAAGATCCCGCCACCACGCGCGATAATAATTGCGTGGTCTCCACGTAAGTTAGAGTTGACGCATGCGCAACAAATTTCCCAGCTGCTCATGAGAACACTTCCGAAATCCTCATGGTAGTTACCACTGACCAGGCTCAAATCTGAGCCCACGGCCGTTTTCACCCCCCCCCCTGGTTTTTGCAAAAAAGTTTTGCAGATAAATTTATAATTCTTGTTGTTTTGAATCAGTTTTTAAATTTTTTCGATATAAATTTTCTACCTTTGACCATTTGGACAAAGATATGCAAGTCGTACGTGTTATTCTCGCCCATCAAAGACGACAAGCAAATTTTAAAGCCTCAAGAAATGTGGGGAAAAAACAAGACTTGAATATGGATATTTTTAATATACAAAGGTAAGAGACGTATTTTCATATTCAATTTTATTTACACTTTATCCAGTTTGACATGAAATTAATAAGTATAACGATGAAAATAACACTGTATTTGTTAAGGAAACAGCTTCCTACAGTGCAATACACATGGGAAAGTGCAAAATTTCCCACTACTTTAGCAAGCTGTGATTCACAATCGCAAATATTTGGTTACAACCTACGAAGTTTTATATTAAAATGATATTCAGTCACATATACGAGTATTAATACGACGGTCTTTAAAGTGCGAAGTGTCTTGTGTAATAATGTTAAAAGGTTGACTCTGAGGTCTCGTCTTATACATAGACATAAACTACGATCATGTACCACAGACTATCTTTTTGAAAGAGGGATTTAGGTTTTGTGTTATGTACACTATAAGCTGGAGGTGCTAGCTTTCTGGTTGGGGATACTTCTTGATTTTTGTGTCATTATAGAGGCTTGAGATAAATCAAACTTTTCCCTAAGCCGAGGTTTAACTGAGGTGTGTGCCAATGCATGCATGTGTGATCACACCTCATCTGAGTCATCTCCAGGTTTTCTTACAGGTTTTCTCAGTAAATATCACTCTGAATAAACAATGTACCTACTAAGTGCACTCATAGTTTTTATTTATGCTAAGTTTATTTATGTTACCTGGATAATTGTACAATCTGTATAATTAATCTATTCTTGTTTATTGCACATTTATTCCAAAATGACACACTCTCTTTTCTGGGTGGCAAACACAGTACCAAGCCACATCTTTGGAAACTGAACCAGAGACGGATTTTCATATTTTTTCGTTCGGGGGTGGTGGATAGATATCTGGGCGGGGGGGGGTGCTGCTGCTTGTTTTGGCTGGGGCCTGGTGGTATTGGCAATGCCCAGAGAGGCCAAGGAAAAAGTTAAAAAAACTTTGTTTTCTAGACCTGCATGGCAAGATCTGACACCATATATAATATTGGTAATTTTACAAATTTAGTAGTAAGAATAATCAAATATGAAACTATCAAATCAAAATATATATAATTTGCGGGGTTGCAAAAACTTTTAGGGGCGTTGCCAAATGGCTCTGGGGGGGGGGGTGCAAATATGTGCCCGAGAAAATCTGTGCCTGAACTGAACATACAATTAAAGCTTGATTAATTTTGAACAACTGTATTTTAATTAATGCATGCTTCCAGAAAGTATATCATCTTGGTTATAGGCTGTAGAGTCTCATTTTCATGATTGAGACATGTCATATACACAAAAACAAGGCTCCATAGTCAAAGTGGCATACTTTCTGGAAGGATGTACAGTATTTTACTTTTTTGTAGCCTCTATTAACTAGCAGTAAAACAATGTATAATTTATTTTAATTCTTCCTAATTTAGTGGAGCACAATTGTGCTCTGTTATAAAAATTTACACTTCAATAAAGTTATTATAATCATATAATTATTTATTACGTTGTTATGGTATTATAATTATAACTTTATTTTGATGTTCTTCATTTTGATATCTTCATGCACTAGTGAAGATATGGAAAATATCTCAATGTGTATTTTTCAGTATCTCACTCTCTACTATATATAAATAAATAGACATATATTAATTATTAACCCTTCAAGTGGCAATGTGCAGTCTTGATATGCCTTACTGTATTATTTTAATCTATCTAATGTCAGACAATTTTACTATATATAGTCAAGGGGAGAGTGCTGCCGGCTATGGTGCAATATATATAATCTGTTTTTACCAAAACCATAATGATGCCTAGCTTCAAAATTAAGTGTCATGTTTCCATATTCAGGAATGCAATTCTATTATTAGCAAATTTCATCATAGTATCTCACAGGCCAATCAGATATCACCTCTTCCAATGTTAGAAATGTTGTAGCATTCTGAATTTACCTGGTTAATGCATCGATAGGGAATCACTTATCCTAACAGCTTGTGGGCAACATTTTTTTCTTGCCATGTAACTATCACATCATAATGTGTATGTAGTTCTGAACAGATAATATACCATGCCTAAATCACACCAGTGTTTCCAAAAAAAAAATTAAAGCACACATGCTATCGTGCCTAATTAACCTGACATGGTTATAGTATATAGGTGGTTAGATAATACATTTCAACAGATGATATTGTTGCCTAATTGCGATAGAAAATTGTATTACAGTGATATATATGGCTGTGCCAGAGTGCTTTCGTGCCTTGCGATAGAAAATTGTATTACAGTGATAGATATGGCTGTGCCAGAGTGCTTTCATGCCTTGCGATAGAAAATTGTATTACAGTGATATATGGCTGTGCCAGAGTGCTTTCGTGCCTTGCGATAGAAAATTGTATTACAGTGATAGATATGGCTGTGCCAGAGTGCTTTCGTGCCTTGCGATAGAAAATGGTACTGACAGTGATAGATATGGCTGTGCCAGAGTGCTTTCGTGCCTTGCGATAGAAAATTGTATTACAGTGATAGATATGGCTGTGCCAGAGTGCTTTCGTGCCTTGCGATAGAAAATTGTATTACAGTGATAGATATGGCTGTGCCAGAGTGCTTTCGTGCCTTGCGATAGAAAATTGTATTTCAGTGATATATATGGCTGTGCCAGAGTGCTTTCGTGCCTTGCGATAGAAAATGGTACTAACAGTGATAGATATGGCTGTGCCAGAGTGCTTTCGTGCCTTGCGATAGAAAATTGTATTACAGTGATAGATATGGCTGTGCCAGAGTGCTTTCGTGCCTTGCGATAGAAAATTGTATTACAGTGATAGATATGGCTGTGCCAGAGTGCTTTCGTGCCTTGCGATAGAAAACGGTAACACAGTGATAGATATGGCTGTGCCAGAGTGCTTTCGTGCCTTGCGATAGAAAACGGTATTACAGTGATAGATATGGCTGTGCCGGAGTGCTTTCGTGCCTTGCGATAGAAAACGGTAATACAGTGATATATATGGCTGTGCCAGAGTGCTTTCGTGCCTTGCGATAGAAAATTGTAATACAGTGATACACATGGCTGCATTTTATTATTTTTGCCATGGAGACGCACGTTGCGACGAAATTGGATACCAATTCTGGACTGCAATTTTCAAAGGACATTCACCGCCTGCCAAATATTCGGCATTGTAAACCGAGTTGCGGGTTATCGTAGCCAATAATATTCGAGCTTATTCCTCGCGCGTCACACGGTATATTAAAGGTGATGTAAAGTCCGTAATGTAAACAAACGCTTTGTTTACATTTTGAACTCACTGCTACAGTTGTAAAATATGATTAGATATATATTATACTGAATTTTTAACACTGTTCTGTTTCGTTATGCTTGTAAATGAATACAGACTAGAGATTCAATTCAAGAAAGTTCGGAAGGCGCGAAATATTAACAACATTCCAAAGGTTGCTCCCCCATTGATGGAATGTTTTGATGCGCAGAATATATGCGCAGAACGGACTTTACCGCATCCTTAAATTGACCTGACTGGCTCTCATTGTTACTGTCAAATTACAATTGTTAGCAAGTGGAAACGTTTGTTCCTATTACTGTTTTCGAGTCTGGATAAGTTCTTGTGCGCAAAGTAAGTGCAATGAATAACATATATACTGTGACTTTTGTTTACCCGTCATTTGTTATTTTTATAAACATTTATGTGTGGAGCCTACATATCTTTTTACAGTATGACTGCACCATCCACATCACAGTCTCCAATTAAAGGCCTCTCTGTTAGGGAAGACGAAAGTGGAAATCGCGCACTTCACACAAAAGTGCAAAAAAATTGCTACCGTTATATATCGAATTTCTACTTCGATTTGAAGGCGTTCATAAACTTTCTGTGTATCGATCACATCAAGTACAATGGTTTTATTGTTGATGTTCATCGAATCGATGGTGTATCAATGTAAGTATAGCTACTAAATGTTACTCGTTTTTGTTGCATGCCATATATGGCATTCAACTTTCATATAGCTCTAAATTTCCTGTCGTGGTCGGTGCATGAGCGGTAAGCGTACCAGTCACATGGCAGATTCGTAAAATATGACAAATACCGAGTTTTTCCGACGAGCATTTTCATGCCGGGTTTTCGTCGAGGAAACGCAAAGAAATATTGATTATTTGCCGAAAATTTACATAATTGAGCGCTTTAGAAAAATAAATCGAGGTAGGTAAAGCTTTTACTGTTTTTAGCTTACCTTATTAGTTATATTCTTTTTAAATATTTGTTGTGATTTTGGAGCCGTTGTACTCGCCTTGTACTAGTGATTATTTATCAATTATCAGACGTTTATATTTATATATCGTGAAAGCCTCAAAGCCGCGAACGCTATCAAAATACTCGATTTTTATATACTCAAACTGAAACGAAGCCATTGTGCTTGCACTGATTATATTATTATTGTGTGCAAAGCTTCAAAACTACAGCACATTTTGTAAATAACATGATATATAAATATCAAACAAAATTTGAATTGTAAATAGTATTTATACATACTATTGAAACTTTAATAATACAACGAAATAGCAACCATTGTGAAGTACGCATAAGATTCAACATGAATTCGATATAGTGTAAATTAACTCATTTCAATCACTCAAACGTCAAAATGATAAATAATAATAATTTTCAATCTATTATAGTAATTCACCGTTTTAACTTTTTTTTATACCTTTAAAAAGTTACAATAAAGCTAAATCTAAAGGAAATAACATTATTTAGTTATAGATTTGACAAAACCTTGACCGACCTTGACCTTGTTAATGTTATTATTACCGTTGTTTACAACTAACTATTAACGGTCCCTCATAAAAACATTGCCTATACGCGTGTTTCTGCTGGGGTCTACACAGTAGGTTAATTCGCGTGAGAATCTTAAGTTTCCTTATTTTGACATGATAACTATTTTTAATAAATATATTGATATTTTAAACTTATTGAATCAGTATTTTAAGTTTCACGCCAGTTGTACCAAAGATTTATATAAGCGCTATAGCGCATCATAAGTTTTCAGATGGCATGCAACATGTACGCACTGCGTACCTATTTTTATATCATTTTAAGAGAACGCCTGCCTCCGGCATAAGTCGGCTGCTTTGTTTTTTTTTAGAAATTTATTTTTGTACTGCGGTAGTCTAATGCAAGAATTAAAATCATATTTGCTAAACAAAACGAGGTTAGTTTTAAAAGAAAGCAGTTCTTTACAACATTGACTTACAGGGCGCGTTTCTTCTTAAATTGATCCACGAATTTTAACTTTATGCGCAAATATGTGATTTTTTTCAAGCGCTATCGATGCCACTGGCACTGATGCCAGCCGTTGTTACTCCGGTGAACTTACGTCATTCACACTTCGAATTGTTTTCCGGCGCTTGAGATAAGGAAATCTATGTGTTAGGATGATTGTTATGATAACATGTTGTTTGCTCGAGCTTCCTAATTTAAAGGTCCACTTGTCTCACAATCGGGAAGGCTATTCTTGGTTGATATGTTATCTCGAGTTGATGTTGGATTTTTTACGACTATTATAATATTATTGTCAGCCATTAGAGTGTTGCACGCATCTATAGAGTTTTGTACACTGATTAGTCATTACGGCGACTTCATCTGTTGTTTTTTTTTTTGTATTTATGACCAAACATCAATTTATCAATACTTGCTCACATGCAAAGTATCAGAGATGTATTTTTCATATTAAAGGAAATTGTGTCAGTGTGTGCTAAGTAGGATAAAAATATAAACAAATAAAAATTAGTGCTCTTCGATAAGAGTTATTATTTCTAAAATAACAATTTAGTGTCAGGCTATCTTTAAAACAGGGAATGGGAAATCCGGATTCCCCATTTTTCAGATAAAGAAATTAATTGTTATGAAATGAATTCCAGTTACAATTTATATTATACTGTTAATTGAATAGTGAGTTGACGCAGAATACAAATAATTTCCCTCTTGAAATATATTGACACTGCGTATTAATTTAATTTCCGATCGATACCAACATGCAGTCTTATAATAAGCCAACTATGTGCGCTGTCAAGAGACGCCTATTATTAAAAAAGACACACCTCCGGTGTCACAGTGATTTGTGTTACCCCGTGAACTCTGTTCCCCCCTCGAATATAATTCCTATCGCAGTACTGGCAGAATATCCCTTGATGTCCAACATGGCGACCGTCTGTTTATATCACTGAACTAAATGGATGTATTTGACACACAAAATCATCTTTTTGAATTTGTCATGCTGAAAATTTTCAAAAGTAGGAAATTGAATTATTCAGTTTTGCTCCTTATGGCAATATTTCGTCTTTATACCTTGAAATACACCTCATTTTATGGACTCCGTTGAATCACTTTTCGTTCAATCACTGCCATTTTAAGTGCAACTAGTGATGGCATAACATAAAAGTATAAAATTCCCTATAACCTGGGAATGACATGAGCTGTGAATAAATTGTTAATGCCATTCTTCACTATTTTCAAGGTACTTTCAGGTAATGCATAAAATTGGGGACAAAAATTTCATGTCATGTGCACTTTAAAGACGCTAATTTTTTCAAATGAGTGCATATATAGAGAACGGCATATATAGAGAACGGCAGAGACAAAATGTTTGATGTTCACACTGTATGTTGTTTTCACAGGGAGTGTTTCCTAATTGAGGAAATGGAGAATGTAAAAAAATTTAAAGCGGCCATTAACAGATCGTTTGGTACTAAAGGAGGGATTTTAGCCCATGGAATCAACGATGGCCAATTGAGCAGCTATATCATGGGAAAAATGCAAGAGTTCTCATTAAGAGAGGGTAGGCAGATGATTGCCAGCTTAACCACTGGGCGTCAACCAAATTTGCGATCTGTTAACGTGTTAGGGGAATTTGTCGACGAAACAGATCTGTCAGCTGTGGAAAGGAAAGTGGACGATCCTGACACAGCAGTGTACATTCTCAATGATAAATTGCAGGTGCGTTTACTACAGCAAGACGATTTTATGATACTATATAGGTCTGTATTAAACTGTCACTCAATTTATCCTCGATAGATTAACAAGGATGGAGTGATTCCAGAGCAGTTTTGGGAGCATAAATTCATGGTGCCTTTTTTGAGGACAATGCCTGCCGCAACGTCCGATAAAAAGGTACGGAATTTTCTACATGGCCACGAAGTTTTCATCGACTTGCCACTGCAAGAGTTCAACTGGGAACTTTTCATAAGCAAGGCAAAGGGTTTCTTCAAAAAGAACTTTCTGCCGTTTATTATCCTTTTGAGTGGTGGATTGGCTATTTTCCATTATGAAAAAATTCTTTCATGCATAGGTAAGATTTAGAAATGGAGAACCTTTTGTCTTGTAAAAGCACATTTATAATATTACTGGCTAGGCTGTTTTGTCCGCACCAATATTTTTTATTAAAACAACTCCATTTTAGGTCTCTCTCTCTCTCGTTATTTTGCCTTGCCGTTTTTTTAGAGCCTCCGGCTGGAGTCAGGTCTCGCGATATGGGTCGACGGACAAACCATTATTACTCCAGTTTACACCCTTGCTGTAACTGAATAAAAGCAATACTCTTTTCAGGTTCCTGCCCTGTTCCGACCGCCATTGGGGATCCCTCCAGTGGGAAATCAACCGCATTGAAGTTGATAAGCCAGTTGGCTGGAATGCACATGGTTTCCCAGTCTTCTGGGGAATTCATTGTTTCTGGCTTGGTGAATACAACAATCCCGGTGTGCTGGGATGATCCAGCACTTCCGAGCATGGTTCGTCAGCCTCTAGTTTCTGTGTTTGACGGTCTTGGAAGTCAGACACAACTGTGTGGAAACGAGAAACCATTGAATTCCTTTTTACTGACAGTGAATTTCAAACTGGACGATCACATGAGGTACGTATGGAATATTATTTTATGGACACCGAGAATTTTTGTACCAGTCAATTCCAACTGCGACCCCCCCCCCTGAGCCCGCCCCGTCAGGGATTTGACTCTGTCCGCGGTTGCACAAAATTGGTCAGCAGCGGTTGCATGCACAAAATCGTAATCATCTGTTGGAAAAGAGCATCTTTACACATCTTTTACTCATCTTTATAAGAATTCACACGGTGGTTGGTTGCTATGCATTTTGCTCCCGGAAGCGCGGGCTTCGTTTTTTCCAGCGGTGTTGGTGTGAATGCGAAATGGCGTTGTTTATTAACCTTATAACCGGAAAGGTCATGTATTTGGCTTAAAATTTCTTGCAGTTACAGTAAAACAAATTTGTTGGTATATTTTAACTGATTTATAAACTTCCATATTTAAATGGAACGATTGTGATAATTTTATTTAGCTGTCAAATAACCGGTCGGAACTATTAACTGGTGTCGAATACCTCTAGCCTGCGCCGCAGACGATATATCATATTTGCTCCCGTATAGTTTATATTTCATAATACGGAACGCAAACCAATGTACAAACTGTTCCTCTTTTCGCCTAGACTCGTGTTTCTTCATCAGTATATGCAGGTAATTTTGGGGAAATTATCTGACGCTGCTAATACATAACATATATCGATTTAAAGTAATATATCGACAGCCGGAC